TGAAACGTTTGTCCAGAAATAAGTTTATTAAGTTCACTGTCCTGTTGCTGTTCACTCTGTAAAATTTTGAAATTAAGTTCTGAATTTTTAATCACATCTATTTCAAACGCACGAGATAACGTGTCAGCTACAATGTTGGCCTGTCCTTTAATATACTGTATGTCACTAGTAAACTGTGCAATAAACTCAAGATGCCTTGTCTGTCTTGGACTACGCTCAGTTTTGGAATTTAGAACAAAAATCAAGGGTTTGTGGTCAGTAAAAACCGTAAACTGCCTTCCTTCTAATAAATACCGAAAATGTTTAATATTCAAATAAATTGCTAAAAGTTCCCTGTCAAAAGCACTATACTTCATTTCTGCTGGAGAGAGTTTCTTTGAAAAGAACGCAAGTGGTTCAGACTTATTATTGAAATGCTGCTGTATGACACCACCAATTGCTGTATTGGATGCATCTACCGTTAAAGACAATTTTGCATCTTTACTAAAATGATTTAGCAAAATCTTAGATGCAAACTTCTCTTTAATGCATTCAAAAGCTTTAATGGATTTGTCATCCCAAACCAAAATTTTGTCTCGCTTTTTACTTGTTTTATTAATTAAATCATATATAACTCCAGTAAACTCAGCTAATTTTGAAATATATCTATGGTAATAGTTAACCATACCAATAAACTTTTGCGCTTGTTTTATTGACTTCGGTCGTTCAAAATTGCGAATCGCTTCTACTCTGTTTACAGAAGGCTGTATCCCTGCCTCAGATAAACAATGTCCTAAAAAATCTATACTTGGAACACCAAAAATGCATTTGCTTGGTTTGACGTTCAAACCATACTCAGACAAACATTCGAAAAGTACCCGTAGATCCTTTAAATGTTGTTCTTCACTCTCACTTGCAACCAGTAGATCATCAATATACGCGAAAACAAAATCTAATTTACCTACTACTTCGTTGATGAATCTCTGAAACGTTTGCGCTGAGTTCCTCAGCCCGAAAGGCATTCGGGTGAACTCAAACATACCGAAAGGAGTAGTAATCGCCGTTTTAAAAATGTCTTCTTCTGCCATTGGAATTTGGTGATACGCTCTAACTAAATCTAACTTTGAAAATATATTTTTATTCCTAAGGTTCATATTAAAATCGTGAATATGAGGCAAAGGATAACGATCCGGTACAGTCACATTATTAAGTCTTCTAAAATCACCACAAGGACGCCAGTCATTAACTTCTTTGGTACTAAATGAAGTGGAGATGCCACGGATGAATTTGATGGTCTACAAATCCCTGTTTTTACCAATAAATCGAATTCAGTTTTAGCTACTTTAAATTTGATAGGATCTAAGCGCCTTGGCTTAGAAAAAGGAAGGTTTCCTTCAGTGACAAGTCTGTGAACCGTTGTATGCTTAACCGGTTTTGAGTAATCTGGCTCAGAAATAAGGGAAGGAAATTCCTTCAATAATTTTGTATATTGATCATCTACTGAAAAAATTTTCGGAAGAGGGACATTGCAAAAGTACGAAATTGTATTAACTGATAGATTTGTTAACGGATCTACTAAACACTTGTTTTTAATATCAATAAGAAGTCCATATTTACACAAAAAATCAGCTCCTATAATCGGCTTCGCAATATCAGCAATCAAAAATGTAAAAAGGAACTCACGCCTTAAACCCAAATTAATATTCAAGTTTCTTCCCGTATGTAAAAATAGTTGAGCCGTTAGCTGCCGTTAAAATTATATCTGAAGATTTCCTAGTATTCGAAAATTTAGAAACTGGAAGTACCGAAATTTCTGCTCCGCTATCAATTAAAAAATTTAGTTTGTTTGTTTTATCAAATATAAAAAGGCGACGTGTGGAAATGTCCAAATTCCCGTGGTTTGTCGCCGCAACAACGGACGACTTTAGTTTGTTGGACTATTATTTTTCGAAAATGCACATGGTTGTTCACATTTTTTAGCCTTGTTTCCAAATTTATAATGATATCTACATAACCAATTCGGATTGTCGCGTGATTTTGATCGATATCTAAAAGGGCTCCTAAAACGATTCCTATTCACTGAACGTGACCTTGAATAATTTTGATTCATTTCCCTCCTCATTTCACATAATTCCAAAGAAAGTTTTTCAAAATTTTTAAAAATAAGAGAAGTAGTGTTAACCAAATTAGCCATGACTGCATTTTCACCTTTTGAATTTTGAAAATCATTAATTGAAGCTATCTTGCTTTTGCTAATAACCTCCCAAACATTATCAGCCAATTTCGTCAATTCACTAATACTGCTTGAATTAGAACTAGCTAAAATCACGCTTAGGTTCTTCGGTAACTTCCTCATCCAAAGTTTCTTAAGAACTTCTTGACTAAAATTGGAAACCGAAAGCAGTACAAGCGACCGATAACATTCTGAGGGCTTACGATCACCCATTTCAGTATCCGATAAAATTTTGTCTAATTTCGCATTCTCACTTAATGAATGCCTTTCAATTAAAATTTTCTTAAGTGCAGTAAATTTATTATTTTCGGGCGGATTTTGCATAAAGTCTAAAATCGTTATTATAACTTCTTGCGGAAGTGCAGTAATTGTATGTTCATACTTTGTTGTTTCTTGTGTAATATTTTTGGTACTAAACTGCATTTCCGCATGAATAAACCACGCTTCCGGACAACTTGTCCAGAATTGTGGTAGTTTGACCGATGTAGCACAAATCTCATTACTATTTCGATCGACATACGGATTTGTTAACTGTTCGTTAAACGTACTATTTTGCAAATCAATAAGAGTTTCATTTAAATTATCTCGTGTAGATGTATGTGTATCATGTTGTGGTGAACGAAACATTTTGATTATTTGAATTTGAGCAAATATCAAAAGACCTCAGAAAGGGGAAGTTTACAATTATATAAAAAAAAAAAAAAAAAAAAAAAAAT